AAATGTTTTTGGTCTGCCTCTAATGAGTTTTGATATCCTAGATGGAATGTTTTGCGAATCTTTTCCCATTGAACACCGTGGTATCGAGAAAAGTGATTTGGTTGATTCTCTGATATTTCAGCCGTGAATTTGATACGTAGGGTGGAAATAGTTAGCCCGCTTAATGAACCGATTTACCTCTTTTCTGTCGCAATCCCAAAGGGAGAAAACGTCATTAATGCAACGTTTCCATTCTTTTGGTTTGGTTTCGCTTTAATTGTTGGATTAATTTCTTTTCAATTTCCGCCATGAAAATATTGGCAAATGGCACTGCTATTTTCATATCTAAAGCGGTTCCATGTTTTTGGAGGAAGCTCTCCTCAATGAATTAAAACGAATTTTCTTTAAGGATTAAGCCATGCATTTCCGTGAGGTAGTGCGTTGGGATCGGTGCGTTATGATTAAGGAACTTTCCGTATGTTTCTCATACTACATTTGTTCCTTTTTCTTAACGCATATTTGTGTACCACTTTCTGCGACAATCCAGATGTCTACAAGAGGATCGTTCATCCGCTGCTAATAATCTCATGTTCGCCACAACTACAATCTTGTTAACAATCTCTGCTCCTTGAACCGATGTTACGAAGCCCGACACCATTCGGTTGTACGCCTCAAGAATTTTGAATGCTTTAAATTACTTATTTGCACAATAACTTGTCTCCAGGACTAAATTAGAAAGAAGGTCCGAGACTTCTATCGGGGACAGATATTCTGAGTTGAATTCAGTGCTCGCTTCGAATGGCTACTGGATCGACACCAACCACATAAATTTTCTTAAAATATCGCTCTCGAACGTGGCTTTCTAGGTTCTCCGCGTAGTTCAAAAGCACAGTTATCCTAAGGAGAATATTCTCTTGTGATTCTGGATTTTCTTCACTGGAAATATCCATAAAACAAAGCATTTGAAAGAGAACACGGTAGAGATGGCAATATATTTGCATGAAATTTCACACCCGAGATGAGCACCAACATGGCGGACGCGTAATTTGCATAAATGTATGACGTCAGCTGCAAACCGAGAATAAAGCGCCTCGGCCTGGGTCGTTTTCCTGAGTAACGCTATACTCGATAGTACTCGAGAACATTTAGCGAGCAGTACATGCCTATAGAAATGTATGATTGCAAGAACATTGCCGCATGGATAGTGGTTTCTATGGGGAGTCAAGTCGCCTACACCGTATCATAAGTAAAGCACAAAGAAACTAAATAACGAGGAAGCCTTACTAGTCGGTCTTGAAGTAATTAGTGTCGGTATAATCCTACATACAAAACCCTAGTCAATCGTGTCAAGAGAAGTAGAGAACCATGGTCAGGCAAACCCCGGGGATGCAAACTTTTGCGGGGCAAAGTGGGCAATTTGAAAATAGCAAATGCAAGCACGTTTCCGTTTGTATAGTGGACAGAAAGTTTTAATAATAGATAGAGTAATTTTAAAAGGGAGACTACTTTGTAAAAGCCCGTGAGGGTTTCCTTAGTCTTCCTCCCAAATGCAAACTAATAGCCAAATATACATGCTGTATTGATTATTTCATTATGGGAAATAAAGTCAAGTCCTTTCATTTCCTTTCCTTTCCTTTTCTTTCCTTCATTTCATTTCATTTCATCAGTAGTCACCGCCTAGTTTGACCAACTGGTCATCAATTTTCCGAAAACGAAGTCAAATGTATCAATTTCAGAAAATAAAGAATTCATCTTGATTGATGTAAAGTGACACTTCTGTCACGCGCTCTGCTGGCTAACACTTAAATATAGACGGCACATCGTTGTGTGATGACTGGTGTTTAGTACGAAAAAGAAAATCGGCAGAAGAATCTTTTTATTGAACTTTGAATGACGAACGGACTGAAAAAAAGCCACAACGATTTGTTTTCATGCCCTTTAATCTTTGATATAGAGGAATTAAAAAAACCTGCTTCAGAATAAAAACCCTTTCGTGGAAAAGTCGCCCAAAGATGTCAATGCCGCTTTCCTTTTCCTCACGAAATATTTAACCTTAATGTGAAACACTCAGAACACTCAGGAGTGAACATATCAGAAACGTTTCTAACGAGCGCTCAGTACATACCATTCAAATCGACAACATTATTTGCGTATATTTTGGGGTTCAATATTATTCTTGGTTCAAATCTTATTTTCCTTTGTTGTTGGGTATGGTAATGTGTGATAATGAGTTTGAAACAAAGGAGAATAAAATTTTCCTGTACAAAATAAATCGAAAGTAGGTGAAAATGTAACAGGAGGTGCTATATCTCTTCCATTAAGCATCGAAAACAGAAAATTTAGAACGACCAGAAGCCACTTAAATATTGGTATAATAGTTTTATAGATGCGTTCTGAATTGCGTTATATTGTGTTAAGAACGCTAATTTTCAATATGACCGCCTCGAAAAGTTGCTATTTCTGAGGAAGAAACAAAGCGGAAGAAAATACAGTTACCCTGATAATCACCTGAGAAATTATATCAAAACAGTTATTCTCTTCGGACTTAGTGAATATTGTCGAATAATCCCCTCGACTTTGTCTCGTGAATTATTTCTCAATATTAATTTCGCCATCGGCGAATAATTGTTTAAAAATAGCTCTGACGCGAATCGGGTGGCGAATGAATTGTAACGAACACAGACGCACAGCGAATGTCACGCATTGAAGCTCGGCATCTTTTGTAACCGAAAAAGGAGATCCTCTTTATGTATTTCTCTTTTTAAAACACCAAAGGAGAGAATGATGATGACTGATGGCGGTACGATTTACATAATATAACAACGTGGCAGTCGTTTCAAAAGTTTGCTTTAGAATTGTATGTAACTGCGTTTAGGAGCTACATATTCCCAGACATTGTCGAATTGGATCCGCATAGACAGAACCTAAATATAAATGTTTGGGAAACTGAAACAACCCTCAGGTTTAACATTTCTCTTCTTTTGCATGGAAAACGAAGAAATCTATAGCGGCACACTAATCAAATAGGACCGAACGGTGTTGTGTCAGAATCAATACTTAGTATGCGGAACTATCGAGTTTTTCTGCCATGAATGCCCTGTCAGGCTAGAGTGGCTGTGATCGCGTGACTTAGTAATAAAGAGGCCTTCTTAGAGGGAAGTGTGACAAGCGGACAGGACCCTAAAAACTAGGGACATGGGACTTGCTACTTAGAGACCAGAATACGACGCTTAAATTCGACAACGACGTGACAAGCACTAAAAAAGACAGTGACGTTCATCGTTTCCTAGACAGTGACGTTCATCGTCGTTGTTTTTATCGTTGTTGTTATCATTATTATTATTATTCTTTTTATTATTATCATCATCATTATTATTATTATTATTATTATTATTATTATCATCATCATTATCTCGCTTCTGTCATAGTCTTTGCTGGTATCCTTTTTTGTGTATCATGCAGCCGAGTGCAAACCATGCACCAAGGAAATCAGTCACTCAAGTCAATCATTCTGTTCACACATTCTTCCTGAGGAGTCGTACAGTTCTCAGTATGTTGATCTTTTGGGTCTCTGTTACCGTAGCTCTCTCCGATACTTCCTTGATGTTTCCTCCCATCCCTTTCCTTCTTGTACCAAGCGCACCAACAACCACAGGGATCACTTCAGTTTTCATCTGCCACATTCTCTGTATTTCTAGTTCTAGGTCTCTGTACTTGCATTTCTTTTCTAGTTCTTTTAGTGCGATATTTCTGTCTGACGGGATAGTCATAAAAATCAGTTTGCAGGTAGAATTCACTGAATCTTTAACCATGATGTCTGGTCTGTTCGCTGCAATAGTTCGATCGGTATTGACTGGCATATCCCATATAATAGTGATGTTGTTGTCTTTATTGTGCATCACAGTCTCCGACTCATGTTCATACCACCTGTCTGTAACCTCGATATCATGATCTTTACAGATGTTGGAGATGTACTCTGTTTTAGCTAATACCTCACAACCAATCTGTTGTTCCCTTTGCCAAGTCTCTCTGAAAGTCACACCACGAGTTTTCTCCAGGAGGACACAATTCACGGTCTGGGTTTTCATCGCTGGATCGAGTATGGTACCACATGGCCATGACAGCATTTTCCACAGATTGGATGTCATGGGTGTTGTTTCAGATGACCTTGCCACAACAGACCTGTAGCTGATCTATTTTGTTGTTTGTCAGCCTTCCAATACCACCGATGGGCTTTCTATCTTCGAGCCTTGCCTGGCCTATTCTCTTTTTTTGCGAGCGAAGGCGTGACCCCAGACGTTTCTGATCATGCCCGACGCACTCCCGCTTGCTGACCTCTCTTTCACCATAAACAGCTTCATCTACAATGAACTTGTGGCTTTGCTGTCCCCATCTCCCAAAAACTCCGTGTAACGGACTGCATAACTTTCAACTGACCGCTGAAATATGGCAAGAAGGCCACCGGCATTCACTGATTCATATGAACCAAGGTGATAAGCCTGGCAAAGATGTTGGTGACCTTCCCACCAATCTTCAAATTCCTGAGTACCTTCCCTGTTCCTCTACAATGCGCACTCCTTGCAGTCTTTTGACATTAATTCAATGTCAACTACTTTGCCAGAAACTGTGGATATCTTAGTGACTATCCCATACAAGGATGAGTAGCCCCTTCTTCTCCAGGTGCCATCGCCTGATATTCCAATATCAAATACACCATCCTCCTCTGGTTCATAGAACCTGTTGGCATCATCAACAGCAGCTGTCATACTATGCTGGCAAACAGTCTGAGCAGCTTTCCTCGCAGCTTCAACGATATCCCTATAGGCGTTTTTACTCAAGGGAGGAGGCATGTTCATAGTCCCAGAAAATGCCCAACACCAATGTTTCTTGATGCTAGAACAACTTTTCGATTTACTTCGAATGCCTGAGAAGTCCCAACTCTAGAAGAAAAGTAGAATTGTTTTAAGAATCCACACTTTTTCCCGGGGCACTTGACAAATAGCAGAGAAGAAAATCCCATCTTTCTTTCGCGATCTTCTTCCAGCAGAGTAACAATCCAAAAATCGAGCCAAGAACTGCCATGTCCACAAAACGAAAACCTTCCATCCTAGCTGCATCCACATCACTGGAACTACTTTCAGATTTAGACTTCTTGCTGGAAAGTCCTTGAACCTTTCCGAGCGAGGCGAAAGATGATGTATTTTCCGACATGTTAGAATTTGAGCGCGACGCGTTTGTTTCGTCAGAGTCCACTTAGTCGCTTCTTTCGAACGATTCTTGATCCGCTGAAGCTTCCTACGACTCTAATTCCTTTCTCCTGGTACACATGTTCCCAGTAAACTTTCTTTTCTTGCTTCTACCACTCCTAAATTTCTGTTTTGGAGGCATTTCTGAAGATAACTTTCACAAATGAAGCATAAGCAATGGAGATCGGGTTTTCGACATTTATTAGCGACCTTAAGATACCCTGGAAGCGGCCTTGGAGGGCGGCAACCTGAAGTAAATTCGCAAGGTCTTAAATTTACATGTCTGAATGTCACGTCATTTGACCGCCTCAACCTCAGTTGCGACGGCGACAAAGTTCATTTTGGCGGCCTCTCAGAAAGGTGAGTTAGTTTTGCGACTTTTTCCCTTAACTGAATTAAAATCATTCGCCCAAAACTTCTATTCCTCATCATGAGGAAATAGATTCATAAATTGTTTGGTTAAATTTTGTTTTCATAATTCAGGTGTTAGCGTGTCTGTGGAGGAAAAGGTGAGCGTGAAGTCTTCAGAAAGGAATACGAAAAGCAGGTAAATTTCCTCACACCAGATTATTGCTTTATTTCTTATTTTCACGTGGATTTTTATCTTGTGAAAGTAATCAGCGGCAGATTAGGACCGCTCTAGATAATGAACCTGCCATTTCTTCGAGGTTAGATCTTTCGTACTCTTCATACGGTATTTCTAGGTTCTTTGAAAAGCTGCAGCCATAGAGGAGCACGAATTGACAAATGACATCCTGCCAAAAGCTCTCGGGTCTTCTTAAACGAAGTCATAATAGCAAAACCCCCTGACCCTCTGACTGAATCTGTTTGTTGTTACCCGTTTCGGCCACCGCTTGCACAACGCAAATCTTAAGGTTTGTTTTTCCCGCGCCAAGGTGGCGGTCACGACCCATGCCCTCTCGGACGTGACCGCGTTCTTAAGGCCGCCGCGTCCAGTATCTTTAGGTCCCTATTGATCCATGTAGATGAATTGAAATGTCTTCAATAAAAGGTTAGACTGCTTCCCAGGAAGCATTCAAGTCGCTCACACGCAATTTTCCTTGAATTTTCACTAAATATCACGGCTTTTTGTAAAAAAAAAAAAAAAAAAAGGCGTAAACAACTCTCGTTTTCATGAAAACGAGCCAAACGTCCTGAGAAAATGCGCAAAAGCATGCTAATAAGACAGAAAATAGGTTTTTCATAAAGGGACAAAGGATAAAAAGTCAAAAAATACAATTTTTGGCGATTTTTGGCCCATCGAGGTGTTCTCCCGCTAAATGATGAAGTCATGACGCAGCTCAGAGAGAAGCACCCAAATCCACAGGCAGCGAAACTGGGTACATTTCTGTTTGGACCGATTAATGATGAAATTCCAGAATCAGTGTTCACCAAGATAAATGGCGACATGATTAGACAGGCTGCGTTAAAGACCAAAGGATCAGGTTGCCCGTCAGGCGTCGATGCAAATGGCTTCAGAGGAATCTTTGCGTGCAAATCTTTTAAATAGTCATCATTAAAGCTCTGTGAAGGACTAGCTACAATGACAAGAACTTTGTGTATTTAATACGTTGATCCCTTTCACATAGAGCCACTGATGGCAAGCCGTCTGCGGATTCCGTTGGATAAAGGACAGGGAGCAGTAAGACCTATTGGAGTAGGAGAGGTATCACGAAGAATCGTTGGAAAATGTGTGATGAATGTGGCGAAGAAAGATGTTATTGAAGCTAGTGGCTCACTTCAATTGTGTGCTGGTAAGAAGTCAGGAAGTGAAGCTGCAGTCCATACAGTGCATACTCTGTTTCAAGCTGATGGTACAGACGCGGTACTTCTCCAGTATCGATGCTTCGAATGCAATGATTCAACTCACTAAATAGAACTGCAGCCCTGCATAACATCAGAGTCCTTTGTCCAATGATCGCAGTTTATGCAATAAACATACAGACAGACAGCACGGTTATTTATCGTTAGTAGTAAAAAACTCGTGTCTGCAGAAGGAACAACTCGAGGTGATCCGCTTGCTATGGCTTTGTGTGCTTTAAGCATCCAACCCCTCATCACGCGCCTACAGTCGAAGTCTAACTCGAAGCAATGCTGGTTTGCGGATGATGCGAGCGGCATTGGATCCGTAGGAGAACTCAAGAAATGGTGGGGTCCGAGCTCTGTCTAGAGTTGGGGTACTTCCCTGATGCTAAAAAATGCTGGATCATTGCTACACCCGAAAAGGAAGTACTCGTGAGGGAAGCCTTCAAAGACACGGCTATTAATGTCACCA